CGCTGCAGGGCGGGACACAGCGCCCCCCTCCAGGCTGCGGTTTCCGTCCCCCGGACCAGGGGCAGGGCCCTGGGGACCCGGACTGGGGGGCTCTCGCCAGCAGGCATATTGGGACAGACACCCTCTTGGGTCCTGCGCTCTCGAGGACAACACTGTGCCTTCCCTCCGCTCTAGTTTCCCTTGAAGCGGGCTGGGCAGGACTCGGTGACTCCAATTTACAGGTGTTGAGACTGAGGTCGGGAGAGGGACGCTGCTCCGGCGCTAGCGTCTGCTGCGCGCCTGCTCCGTTGCCCCTTCCCTGTCTTCCCACGACCTGCCTTTGCAGAAAGTGTCAGCTTATCACTCGCCTCATGTCCCACCCCCTCCGCCCTCTAGGTTTTGATTTGGGGGTCCAGGAGTAGCCCCCACCGCGCCTCGAGCCAGTTGTGGACGCAGCTCACTTTTGGCGGTGACAAGTGTCTGAAAGCCACGAGTTGCTAGCCAATAGCTCGGATCCCTTCGCCAGGGGGCCTGCGAATGCCCGCCCCGGGGACGGGGCGCGCTGCCAGCTGCGCGGCCCGGAAGGGGGTAACCGCTGGGTCTTTGATCTTCCTCGGTTTCCGCTCCCCGCTGCAGTTCGCAGACCCAAGGGCTTGTTTGTTTTGTCTGGGGAGGTCTCTGCAGAAGGGAGGGCAACATCAAGGGGTTCCACCCCACCTTTGTGGTTCTGGGAGAGAATGCCTGCTCTGCCGGGGACATCGTGGGCCTGTTGTTAAGCTCATCCTGGTAACTGGCAGCCTTGATGTGGGAAAACGAAACCCAGCGCTGGGAGTGAGGACAGCAGCTTTGCCCTTGGACCGAATTCTCTGTGAGAGCCTCGGTTTTAAAATCTGTAAAATGGGGCCTCAATTCTGCCCTTTCTGCTGACTCCTTAGATAACGTGAGCCACAAAAGTAAATCTAAATTTTCTAGCAGCCACATGTTTTCAAAGTTTAAAAGATTAAATTAATTTCAATAACGTATTTTTATTTAATCCAATGTATCGAACATATTATAATTTCAACATTTAATGAGATATCTGACATTCTTTGTTTTTGCACTGTTTGAAATCCGGTGTATATTTTATGCTTAGAGAACATCTCAACCCAGACTAGCCACATTGCAAGTGACCAATAGCCACATGAGGCTAGTGGCTACTTTATTGGAAATCACAGCTCTGGATCATTTACATGTCTCAAAAGGACACTGGAAGCTCCATGGCCCTCCAGAGTCACAAATGTCTTCATCCAACAGTCTTACTTTCAGGCTCCAAACTTTGTTCTTCATACATCCTTTTTGGTAGAAATGAAGGCTGATCTTATAAGCAGGCACATCGATGCTGTTAGCAGGGTGACTTCATCTGAGGAGTGCTGGGACCCACCAGAATATCATTATTGTCCACTTTGCATGGCAGTTCCTTAGCTAGTACCTACCATATGCCAGTCACTGTCTAAGTTACGTAGAGCCCTCGCAACCAGCCTCTGATGCACGCTTGTATTTGTTCTACACAGGAGAGACTCTACGAGGCTCAGAGAGGTGAAGTCACTTGGCCAAGGTCACACAGCAACCAGTGACGTGGTTGGGATCTGAACCCAGGCCTGTCGATACCATCGCACATGCTGTTTTCACTATGTCACGTCCTAACACAGCCCGAACTTCACCTTCCACCGTAGAGCATCCGCAATCTAGAAACAAATACAAATTCAATGCCAGCTGTGTGACAAGTACTGTTTTAGGCACGTAAGATACACCGGTGAACAAAATAGATGATGCCCACTCTCAGATTACACTCTGCTGGAAGAAACAACGTGTGATGCGTGGTAAATTACAAGGGGACACCAGCCATAGCAGCGGCTCCCCGACCCAGGCCCGGGGACACATGTGGCAGTATCTGAAAAAGAGGCCAGGGTTGCCGCTAAACATCCTACAGGACACAGGACAGCCCCTCAAAACAAGGAACTGTCCAGCCCAAAATGTCCGTGGTGTGAACCCCTGAGCTATAGGAAAAAGAAAAAGCGAGGATGGGGTTCCAGTGTCCGAAGCGGAGTGGGAGGCTTCCTGCGGGCCCCTCCAAAGGAAGCGGCATTCGGTTGGGAAGCTGTTTGTCTCTCTCACCTCCAACCCCCACCGGTGCCAGGGTACATGTCAATCAAAGCAGAGCTCCTGGCATTCTTTCTCACAGTGCTCAGAAAGTTGGTTACTTCCTTAAACCGGTCATGGCTTTCTTCTTTCATGAGAAAAAAGTATCCCTCCCCACCCCAACCCCTTGGGAATTTCTTTTTACAGTTCAAAAAAAAAAAAAGATAAAAGCAACAACTAAAACTCTGCAGTTACCAGTTTGAGTCTTGGGGGAAGTAAATCCCAAACGTCCAGCCCAGACACAATGGCCCCCCTCCACCTTCAGCCTGGCCCTTCCCAGCCCATCAGGCGCCTGGGACTTGCTGCTGTTGGAAGCGGTTCACCCTACCCGCCAAACAATCTGGCCCTGGGGCGAGAAATCAGAGAGGTGGGCCTTGAGCTGAAATCTTAGCCTGTCCAGAGCTGTGACGAGGGGCTCCCTAGAGGCCACCAGCCCACCATCCACCTGGGCTGGCTATTTGGTCTCTGTGAGCTTCCCGCGCCACGACTCACTGTCTTTTTATGTGTTTTAATAATTTATCTGGCCCATTTCTTGGGCTGTATACTTACAGTGACACATCTTTTTCTTTGAAGATTTCCCATCCTTTGGGGGAGGAGAATGGGGAAGGAAGGCAAGGAAGAGATAAGAGAGAGAGATTATAACAGAAATGGGTTTCATGGGGCTTGAGATTTAGCAAGGCTGGTTTAGGTGAAATCTGTCAGAAGCAGAGCTGGGAAGTTTGGGGGAAAAAAATAGCTCACCCTGGTTGGCCACCCCCATGCTTATCCCCTGCTTAAGACATCTGATCTGGCCCCTCTTCAAATGCCGCCTCCTAGAGGAAGCCCTCCTTGACCTTCCAACCTGAAGATCTCTGACAGCTCTGAATAGCCAAGCTCCACCCGCGCCCCCTCTTTCTCCACTTGGCACTCTTTATTTTTTTACGCTGGAGCTAAATTTACTCCTAGAGTCTGGGCTCCTCGGGGTAGTGGGCTGGCATCTCTAGATGCAGTTACCGAGCACTGCCCATAGGAGGCGCTCTGTAGGGAATGAGAGGAACCTGCTCATCCGCACCTCTGCCCTGGGGTGTGCTGTGGTCAGCCAGAAAGTGAGAGGGCCGCCAAGAACGTGATCCGGCTACACCAAAGAAAACACTAGCGTCCAAGTCTGCTGGTTCCTCCCCGGCCCCTGGAGCTGCTTCGTTCCACTGGTGAATGTGAACATTGCTATGTGGCCTGGAAACCTGGTCTGGGGGAGGAGGGGAGAGTTAAATTGTCGTGCATGAGAAAGTCATAGGGATTTTGGAGAAGGCGATCCAGAAAGAGAAGGAAAGAGTCTCCAGGGAAAGGGAGGTGGAGAGGAGCAATAAATAAGGGCTGCAGACGGGGCACTGCAGTGAAGTGGGAGGGAGGCGCGATGAATTTTCAAGGCGATGATTACTAATGTGTGACTGGCGGTTGTCACCTTCTCAGCCCTATGATGGAATCGCCCTCCGTGTCTCCAAACCTCAGCCAAATCCCAACTGCATCTCTGGGTTAGAGGCACAGCACAGAATGAAAGAATCGGAAAGATGGCCTAACACAGCCCATCAGTAGGGCGACAGGCCACAGGCCACAACGGTCTTGAATACAGATGTTCATCAGGGGAAAAAAGACGGGAGCCAGCG